AGCAGTGATAGCCTTTGTTGGAAGATTCAACTTAGGATACCCTGAGTTTGCAAGGCAAAAATGTGCACCATCCTGGCCTGGGACAGTCTGAGGTCCTGGGCATGGAGAGACCATAAACTTGGCTCCCGTGCAGAACAAGATGGAAAGGATTTAGAAGCATCTGAATTTATCAGGTTTCCAGTTTTCTGTCCCCAGTCCTCACCTTAACCCTCTGTAAAGTGTGAAAGGAAAAACCAACTCTGCTCTTACTAAAAGTGCCTCAGAGTCTACTCACTCTTTCAGGACAACTATAGCCTCGTGGAAAACTTGACCTTAGGGGAAATTTCTGGCCTGTGAATATCTCACATTCTCCTAGAATGCAGCCAATGCAGAGTATTAATTGAACTAAGCAATCCTTTTTTAGGGATTTATTCACTAGCTTTCATTTTTCTTTTCTTACTCTCCCTATTTCTAGAATTCTGGGAGCTGTACTGTTCATTGTTTCTACCCATCATTAAGGGAAAAGATAGGGAAACATTCCCATGGTAACAGCTTCATCTCAAAATATCTGAATGCTCTCAGTTGCCCTCCTACTCCAGGGAAAAGATGAGCTGCTCCCTCCCCCCCCCATCTTCTCAGAATACAGCAGATTGGTCCATCTCATGCTGCAGTGAGGACTGCTCAAACCAGAACCAGAGAATCCCAGAGAGCCAGACTATCCAGTGAATTCTAGGACAGCCAAGTGAGTTCTGAAACCCTGTCTTGGAAAAACAAAACAAAAACACAAGAATAGAGGTTCTGTCCAGGCCTGGTGGCCCTTTAATCTCAGCACTCAGGGTTTCTCTATGTAGCCCTGGCTTTCCTAGAACTTGCTCTGTAGACCAGGCTGGCCTTGAATCAGATATCTGCTTGCTTCTGCCTGCCTAGTGCTGGGACAAAAGGCATGTGTCACCACCACCCAGCAGTTTTGCTTTGACTGGCTTCAAACTCATGAAGATCTACCTGCCTCTCCCTCTGGGACTAAAAGTGCGCTCCACTGCTCCCAGCCACCTTCGTTGTTATTGCAATAAATCTGCAATCATCTGAGACTTTATTGGATTCCTTCTGTCTGATTTATAATTGTTTTG